TAAATAAGCTGATTCGCTGTGTACAAACGGCTGGCAGATTTATCAAGTCAGGATTTCTGAGCTCACAGTAATTAGTGGACACAAGAGGACGCGAAGCAAGAAACAACGTGCGGCCTCCATATCCAAAGCATAAACGCAGACGTTACGGAAGATCCCGACTTGAGTCAAGCCTAGACTTATGGTCACCTAAAACAGGTCATCTAAAATATTCTTGGTTTTGGTGTGCGTATGAAACCGTTGCATGATTACATCTAGCCGTCATCTTTCATATCTATTTGATCTAGCATATTTTGTATAGGTTCGTTTGGGATTTTTTCTCCAAATTTTCGTAGCAAGGGGAAACTTAATCTTTAAAAAGTACAATTATGATTAATATACATGTATTAGAATTGAGATGTATCCACGTATCTTTTGATTATCCTATTTCGGTTTCTGTCGACAGTTTATAGGCTCTTGCAAATCTCATCACAGCCCCTAATTAAGAACAAAAATCATGCGAAATAACACTGGAATACTTTTCCTGGTTTATGCTGGGAAGGCTGCAGTCACTCGCGTCTTAGTTACTCTATCATGAGAGGAAAAATTGGGGAATTTAATTATTTTGCCCCTAAATAACCCAAATTTGAATTTAATTACAAGTTCATGGATAGTTTGTTATCGAGTGAATCCTTTATGCACATGTCTTTAATTGCAAATGACTATCATCCGTCTTGACGTGTGTTGCACCTCTTGTTGACTGAGTTGGAGCACGGATCACTTACCCAGGGATGTGCAACCGCGAGCGGCCCCAGTGTAAACACATATGGGACCTTGCGTGTTACGGATTGTTATTACCCCTGCAGGCGCTCTCGACTTTTCTCGAGAAAACTCGCGACCACATGACACGCGTTGCAGCATGTACAGTGCAGCCGTGGTTATGCCAAGACGACGCGCCGACGCGGTGCTTAAATCTATTCGTTTTGACGAATAATTCTTCTTCATTTATCGATTTCAAACAGTAACGAAGTTTTAAAGAGGCAAAATTCCCAAATTTTGTGGTACACTTTTCTCAGAATATGAAATATCTTGAGCAGCATATTTTTAGAAAGGGTGTACCCTGACTTAAATATTACAAGAAAACAAAGTCATTTCTCTGTGAACCCTCTCCAATGCTCTCACGGTCTATTTTGTATCCTATTTGGCATCTTAGGGTCAATTGTGAATATTCATATTAAAGCACTATTTTGCATACAAAGGCCACGCCTCGGTTGTAGGGGTGTAGACCACTAATTCAAATGAGAATTTCTGGCCCGCTCATTAGCATTAAAAGTGCCCCCACAGTATCTTTTGAAAAAGGAGATTGTTTTGCCCCCAAAATGATGAAATTGTGTAAATTGTTGCCGGGATCAACTCCCTGGGTCTTTGAGCTTTCATATGAGAGCAGAAGGGCTAAAAACTACGGTTGAAAAATGGTCCTAAGTGCCCGAGAAAGTTGAGGGTTGCCACTTGAAAAATGGCTGCAATCGGACTTTGGAAAAATCACTTTTTGAGGGGTGATTTTGTTTTGTGGGAATAATTAAAAATGTAATTGGTTAACCCACAAAAAATCGAAAAGAAATTGAAAGATAAGGGACCAGACAAGAATTTCATTTGTGTTTCAGAAATCTCAGGGATGTTGGCGTGCATGCTATTGGGCCCTGAACGGTGCTGATTTTACACTGTTTTCAACGGGTCTTGAATTAGTGGACTGTACCCGTAGGAGAGTCCCAAGACGGAAGAACGAGCCGGCGATTGATGAAATGAAGTCACGAGAGGGCTCAATAGAAATCGGCGCGCACGGCATATATTATGCTCAATCGAGTTCTGCCGTCTTGGGCCAAGACTATGGTGGTTGGCCTTCATACGTGTGATTGCATGTCTCCAAATTTTGCAATACACTTTCCAGGGACTGTGAATGGTATCATGTGACCGAAATGAGAGTGGTTGGGCTACGGACTGTCGTGCTTGATACAATTACGCAGGGCACAGATTCACGGGCGGTACAGTTGGGCTAAACTTGCTGCGTGACTGAAATTGATGTGTCAAAACCTTAGAAATGGCTCGTCGATTCGTTGAACTTGTTCTGTCGTCCATGTTTACTTTGACTCTCGCCTTAAGGAAGGGCGAACTTCTTGACATGACATACGGCTATGACGGCAACTCTCTGGCTTATCCTGGGAACGGGTTCTTCCAACTAACTATTCGATCACGGGGGCCGGAAGGCACTTTTCCGTGGTAAGATTGATGTGTACGAAGTTTCTCGATCAAGCTGATTGCATACATAGACCTAGGTTAAAAATCGGTATCCCAGCTGGTGTAGGTTTAACTTGGATCATTTTATTTTCTTCTGAGAAAATGGAAGTGCAAGTCCACACTCTGTGCTAGTGCTGAATTCAACCAGCAAGTTTAGGAATGCTACCTTGCAAGTTGCAGGTTGTAAAACAGTTGATGAAACATGGTGTGTACATTTTTAGTAAATGACTATGTATATACAAAAACAGCATATGAATTTTATAGACCAGAAACTGATCGGAGATCCGAAAACTACAGATAGCATGATTGTCTAATCTACTGCAACAAACTTACTTGCGAACGCTTGAGAAATTCGGCTCAAACTATTGAGCTGAGTTCGGGCGGCTTGCTCTCTAGTCTCATGTTCACGAACAGCTCGGTTTGGTGGTCGAACGCCATGAACGTTGATGTACAACGTACAACCGGTTATCGCTGGTAGTGACAAGCAACATGTGCAACATGGCGCGTCCGTGTACTGTACGTTATTTGAGAGTTAATGTTTGGATAAATGGGTTGAATTCTTTCTGTTTAAACAGGAACATTCATTTCTGTGTTATGGAAAATGATGTTACTCTTGTAAAATTTCGTATTGTCTCTGGCTTTGAAAGCCATCACTCTGCTTTTTGCCATGTTTGCAGCTGTTCAAAAATCAAAATCTAACGAGTTTTTCCATGTGTTCCTGTAAAACCCTGACGAGGAGGTTGTGTGTGATCCTGTTCCGAAAACAGCGTTCTTTAGTCGTGTTCCCACCGCTCGAGCGTGAGAACAAGAAACCTGTATCAAGAACAGGCCACCCGAACCTCAGTGATGATTCCATAAAGTTTACGTGTGGGGTTTTAACAACATACTTTAGTAATAAGGCCTTCAACCTAGAAAAAATGTGACGGTGTGTAAACAGTGATGTGACACGGAATGTCTACAGTGCTAGTTCAGTGAACAGTAGCGTATACTTAGGAGCAGAGTGGTGGAGGGTTAGAGGGTTTGAAATAAAAATCAGAGTCAATATCAGGACGGCAAATAGGATACAAATAAAAACCAATCAGGAGGTTGAAAATGGGTGGTTAAAGGCAGCGAATAATGGGGGAAATATTTCGGGATGGACTTTATTTTCGTAGCTTACTCTTTTGTGTCAATTTAAACGATACCACTATAATATTCTATTGGGCAACAGGTGAACAAGACCCTGGTTGAGCCCCTGTCAGTTAAAAGTAGCGTGAATTAATCCCTATTAGATTCGATTTTTACCTTCAGTATTGCTAACAATGGTGGGTTTTTTTCTGTTGGGATCTATAACTTGATAATATCAAATTAAAAAATGAATAAATTTGGAGTTTGATTAAGCCGCTTCAGGAATCGGCTTTATTTATTTATTTAAATGCTTTGATATTATTTTTATTATTATTAGTTAGGCCTTATTTTTTCATTATACAAAAAACTGTTTTAGATTTTCATCAAAGCGTAAGTCTGAATTGGTTTGCTTTTCTGTATGCTTCTTGACGGGATAGCCTTAGTCGGGAAAGAAGGGGTGTTCTTATCTATTGCCTGATAACTATAAGGATTGAACCATGATGTTGTGTAAAGATCGATGGGGAGAGTAACATTCTGTAATGCGTTCGTTTTTGCAACTTCTTGCTCCAGGTTGGAGGATAACGTAATTTGTACACCAGAACACATCGGCACCCATATCGATGCTCCGGCTCACTTTGCACAAGGCAAGATGCGCGTTGATGACATACCACTTGACCAGTTGGTGCGTCCGGCCATCCGAGTCGACATCTCCGAAAAAGCGAAAATGGACCGAAATTATTCCATGACGGTCAAGGATCTACAGGACTGGGAGGACGTCCACGGCAGGATTCCAGACGGCTGTCTTCTCCTTGTCTATACCGGTTGGGGAGTTTTCTACCCGGATCGGCTGGCCTACTTGGGCACGACGCGCAACGACACCTTCCTCGATGAACAAGGAAGGTCACTCGTCTATTCTCCTGGCGTGGCGCCGGAAGCTGCCACGTGGTTGGTAGCAAATCGTAAACTGTCGGGTATTGGCATCGACGCAGCAAACATCGACTACGGACAGAACGCTCTCGTCACCAGCCATCAGATTTTATTGGGCGCTAACATCTACGTTCTGGAGAACGTGGCTAACCTGGATCAACTCCCAAATACGGGAGCCAAGGTTTATGCTCTCCCTATGAAAATTATAGACGGGAGTGGGGCGCCAATACGCATCATGGCGATGTTGGATGAGGGAAATACCTCAAGTGTGGTGATGCCTTTTACTACATTTACTATTTACGGAGTATTTCTTGCCGGTTTTGTTTTTCAGTAAATAATGTTTGTTGAATATCTGAAATATCCGAAAATACTTGTGGGGTTGATTTACTTATTTACTTTAGTGAATGATGTTTCTATTTCATGTTTCTTAACGATAATGGAAGAGTATCAGGAATTTTAAGTCCATTGTAGTCATTAATTTTCGTGCCATCGTATAATCTTTATTATAAAAGGCGAATATTATAATCCAGATGTCTGTATAGGGCGTTGCCATGTGTACTAATTGCAAAATATGAAATTTAAACACGTTTGCATTTGTGCAGATGAATTACTTTATTTGCTTTTTCTATTATTTAGTATCGATTTGTGTTTTAATTTACATAAAAAAGATGAACTATAGCAAGAACAATTGTGTGCTTTAATATGACCAAATCAAATGTATTACAGATATGACTTTGCCCCTTTCGATGAAAACTGACAAAATAAAACGAAATGTTCCTTAAGTTAATATAACGACTCTGTACAATGATTAAGAAGTATCCACAGGATATAAATAAAAATATAAGCAACATGAGCAGAGGAAAGGAAAATGGAATTGATAAGAGTGCAGAATACATGTAGAGTGTTTTAGTTCGAACTTATATGTACACTATCCTAGCAGTATAATATTCCTATCGTTTTTTGTATTAATAATAATAATAATTAGTAGTAGTAGTAGTAGTATTCTTACAACCCAGCATTCCAAAACCAGGCAGAACAATATCGACTGGAAAATAATACCAATATGCCACGGTTTCCAAATTACCAGTGCCCCCGTGTATCCCCCCCCACCACTAAAAAAACGATGAATGAATCTTTAACAAGGCTAAAAAAACTTTCCCACAAAACCACTCCACTGAAAGCTGGTGCCCTATCCTAGAAGATGCTGGTGCCCATTAGTATTCCCTCCCCAGTAAAATCCTAGCTGCGCCACTGCCCCGTAGCTGGCGGAGATGCTTGTGACAAATTATCTCCAGCTGTTAGTTAACCTCACTTGCGCCCCGGTGGCCAAAAACTTCTCACTCCCTGTCTTGAAAGTCTCAAGTCCTATGCTTTTCTTGGATGGGCTGTGATTTTGCATGTATATTCAAATGGCTCGTCGACTCCCTGGAGTCGTCCTGATGTCCATGCGCACTGTTGTGGTGGTGGTGGTTCAGGGTAGCGCTTCTGGACAAGTCACGCATGCTGCTATGACGAACTTGACCCTCTCGCTTAATATCCAAGAAATTGATTCTTATTAGGCTTCAGCCCGGGGGGAGGGGAAGCACTTCCCCCTCGTTTTCAGAACCACACATACTCACATAAAAGAGTTATCCTTGCATGGTGCTACCCCCAATCCTCTATAATTAACTTTCTACCTTCAACATGAAAAGCTTTAAAGCTCATTTGGCTTAAGTTTATGTCCATAAACTATAGGTTTTTCCCGGCCAATTTCGGAAAATGCGCCATTTAATTTGTGAAATAAACATTCAATTTGGCGTAGATTTTGAACGCGACTTATAACTGGTTTTTATTTTCGCAATAACAAACATACAGCTTCGTTTGGCATTCTTTAAATAAATTTGTGTGCATTACGTTTTATTTAAGTGGTTATAAAAAGTGATTGGGATTTCGGTTTGACGTATTCGTTACCAACTGTAACAACTGTGTATTCTTATTCGCCAAAAATACGTCTTGAACTGTGAATCTTTGGATTTAGTGTTGATTTTTATTTGCTGTAATTCAAATTCGCAAAAATAGGCTATACGTTCAATTTGGTTAGAAGATACTTCTTCACCTGAAAGAGAAATATCGTTTAACAATTGACCTGGCAATTCTGAAAATGTAAAATATATGATGACTTGTGAAAGTCGGTATACTTTGATCTCACACGCAAGTGAAAATGCATAAAGTTATCTTGTGGTGATCTTCAAGTAAAAAACTAAAATTGAAACGGGGAGCAGATGTACAGGAACATACCCGTCACGGTGACAAGAACTGCGGTTAGTAGACCAGCTTAACTACATCCAGAACCCATTGGCCGAAGGTAAGTATCATTGTAATGACCTTTAACTTTACTGCCCACGTGAGCAGAAGGAAGGTCACAAGTTCATAAGTTCAGAGTAGCCAATAAGCCATCATAAATCCAATTCCGAGTTTCAAGCAATTGGTCGTAAATTCTATAAGCCCAGCCTTGACCTGTATTCATGATGAAACCACTTAAATAGCAGTCAACTGACCGTCACCAAGTCCTTCTTTCACTGTGCACACGCATGATCACTACCCCAACCCCAGCTTTGGACCATAGTAGTATTTGTACAAAAACAATACGTGCCTGAGTGCTGTCGTGTTTAGAGTCTGGTATAACCATGGAGGAAGAACACAGAAGGAGCTTACAACTCTGGCACATCAAAATGCTCGGGTGATCATCGCCGCCCGATCAGACGAACAATAGTGAACATTCCCAAAAATGCCTGATTACTACCTGCAGCTTAGCCGGACAAGTGGGGCCAGTAATATCCCAGCAATATTTGTGGAATTCTCTTTGCAATTAACTGCAACTTGTCGCAGTGACCGGGAAATAAAAAGAAAATGTTAGATTTACTTTTGCCGTCGTGAATAAATTATTTTAAGAGATTTTGATGCACTTTTCCATTATCCATGCAATGTTTGTAATCTCATTTTGTCACTCCAAAACATCAGTTTTCAAAACAGTCTTTCTACGACTTGGGTAAGACTGGCTAACAACATGTTAACCACCACAGGACAGTTAAGTTCACGAAAAACAAAATGCGCTGTTTCATCACAAGGAGTGATCATGAAATCTCATAAAATACCTTTTTGTATAAATTCAGTAATTCCAATAAAGCACAAGATCCTTTTAACAACTTGGCTATTTATTCCCCAAATAAGTCGAGAAGAAAGCGTTTGATAAGGGCAATAACAGCACATAAACACTTGCGGTACACAGCCTAATACAAGCAACTGATCAAGCATTAAATTTGATGTTGTTGTCAGATCATACCAAGCACCAACGATGTATGAATATTCAACTTCCTATACTGCACTACACAACGTTTTAAAGTGCAGATTACCAGCGAAAAATTGCGGCGATGACATGGGGTACAAAGAGTGCTTATGGTTGTTCAACAGGTGATGCGTAGCAAGCATTCGCTGCGCTCTGGCTATGAACATACCGGGCATGCCAGAAAGCAGTAATTGGCCAGATGTGGTAGCCTGGGCAATTCAAGTTCCTTCTGTGTCCTTCGTCCACGCATGGTATAACCCTATATACCTTAAAAACTCTAAAACCTCCTTTCCACTCCGATTTCAAGTTTGCCCTTTTGTACCGGCAAGGTTGATTTACATATTCAAACAGGCGAAATGCCTTGCATGCCATGCCTAGTGACTGTGAGCCTAGAATGCCGCGACTTTCTGCTCTGATGGGTTTTGCACTGCACTAATTCAAGCACCTCTGAAAGTGTACATTCAACCATGATTCAACCAAATGCAGGGCTCAGCAACATGCAAGCCAACATTACTGGTGTTTTTCAACTTAAAACAGTTATATTGTCTTCTTCTTAATCTTTCCGTTTCTGTCCGGTGCGTTAGCCAATTTGATTTCTGGTTATTCGCACACTTGAATATTCACCCCTACTATACTTGCATGCCACCATTTTTCAAATGGCATCCCTCTACTTATACTGTAATACGCACTTATGTCCATAATTTCAACTGCACTTTCAACTCTGCCCTCTAATGGAACACCCCCCCCATTTTAAGGCTTAACAAAATCCTTTTTCAAAAGAAACTGCGGCAACACTTTTTTTGGCTAATGAGCTTAGGCAAAAATTGACACTTGAATAAGTACACTGCACCCTATTACATCATACGTTGAGACTGGATTCGGAACAGTGATCAAATGAGGGCGCCCTGTGTGTTGGCGCTAGGGGTGCAGTGTCCCAATTCAAGGAAAATTCTCCGTCAGGCCGAGGCGCAGAAAAAGTACCCCCAGAGATTGTTTCAAAAAGAGGGGTCTGTTTGGGCCAAGAAATGGTGGAATTGTGTCAGTATGGCCCAGGATCATCTCTGTAGATTCAGGGGCACCCATCTGGGGGCAAAGCAGACACAAATGGGATTGAAAATTAGTCAGAAGAGCCCCAAGAAGGTGAGGGATGTCATTTGAAAAATGGCCGCTGGGAGGGCTTGGCAACATTCACTTTTTTGGGGGTGAGTTTGTTTTGGGCGGAAAATTAAAAAAATTATTGGTTAACCTACTAAAAATTGAAAATAAAATGAAACCTGAAGGACCAAACAACACATTGTTTTTTGTTTGAGAGGCCCCAGGGACTTCAGTTGCCTGCCATGGGGCTTCAAACTTGGTTGTTTTTACACTATTTTCAATGATGCATGAGGTTTTGTACGTGCATGATTTGTGTACTGTACTTGTACATGTACATGTCGTAAAACGCGTAAAACACAACAGCTGGTGGCCAGTTTCTGGGTCAACACGCTTCATGAATCATGCATGATTCATGGCAACTTAGCCCAATCAGACGGTTTTATTATGCACCATAGAGAATATGTGGTACGTTAAAAAATCGCCGGCGGCGATTGCTGTGTTTGTGTTACTGCAAAGCGACTGGACAGGAGCAGGAGACTAGGCGAGTGGCGCAGCTCGTGGCTAGCTAGGCTGGCTGCGCCACTCGTGCATGTGCTCCGGTCCAGCCGCTTTGCAGTTACACATAAACACAGCTGCAAAGGCCTTGTTGAAAGGCTAGCGCGTGATATGCATTATGTACATTACATACTGCATAATTCATGTTTCGCTGGACGCCCGCTATTATGATCGGTGGAGCAACTGTGATGTAAGTATAAATTATCATAATTGTACCGTTTTCCGGTTGCGATAGTGTTTCTACCCGTGTGCTTGCGTTGTGATGATGGGCATTGTGTATCGACGGCCGACATACGTGCATACATGTACACTGTACTTTATAAAAACAGGCCATGGTATTGTGAAACTTGTGACAAGTTGCGTGTGACTGTCTTGAAAACATCTCGAAAAAGGTATTGACTAGACTAATAACTCTGTAAGGGCTAAGGTTTTATATCTGATATTTTGGACATTATTTGCCTTTACATTTGGGCGATGGTCAAGGCCCGGGAGTGGGCTTTCTAATCTTAATATGGTCCATGTATGAACTTCTGAGGCACTTCTTATTGTCCAGTTTCCTGTCTATGTGCGTGCTTTGCCCTTCTCCAGTCAAGTCATAGGCCTACCATGGAGCTATAAAACAGGACGTTTTACAGGGGAAAGGCACATAGGGCTTATATAAATACAAAAACGGCTGTTCCATGTCAAGACATATGTAATACACAGACTGAGCGACAAGTCACTACATCATGTACCAATGCAATGGGCCCTTCCAAAAATTTGGCAGCACTTTAGATGTCTTGACATGGAAGAACTGTCGAAACGATGAGGGATCAAGTGACGTAATGTTCAACGACCTTATTTTAAAGATGGCGACTGTGAGAGCGAGCCTGTTAGATTGAATGGATAAAGGCAAAAAGACTGAAAATACCTGAATAACGTGAGTGAAATCATTCAATAAATGGTTTGTAGAAAGTGGAAAGGTTAAGAATCATGTTCGTGTGCAAAAGAAATTGCGCCGACGATGATAAGTGGGTGCGCCGAAATGTTCAATACGCCGACACGAAATTGCGCATACGGATGTGTGGCTAAGGATGGATCGGGAGTGAGAGTCCGCGCCACATTAGTGGGGCTAGACTAAAATATGAGTTCAATGTTAAAAATAGTTTCAATTTTTCATGAGCATGAGGGGACAGATTCTATTCCATGAGGTGAAGTCAAGTGAAATGGAACACTCAATCTGTCACCAAATGAAATTATCCGCCCCAAGCGGAACAAAAGGGGACGTGTACTGTTTCTTTGGGTACTCATCGCACAGGCGCACCATCAGGTGGGCAAACTGTGTGTTTGACATGGAGCACGCTGAGTACTCGTAACTAATTTACTCTGGCATGTGTGGTCTTTTCGTACACGCGAAATGTGTGCAAGAACCCATTTGTAACCACCTAGTCTTTCTTTTCGCTTACTGGGGGTGCACTTCCATGCATGCTTCGGTGACGTTATGAGCAGATAGGCCTACTGCAGAAATATTCTGAATAAAATTCCATAATTCTGACTGACTCCCTTGAAATGCAATGCTCGTTTGTCATTCAAACTCAGAAGGCGTAAAATGCATTGTTTGTTTGTGATTCAAACCCATAATGCACTGCTAATAACGAAATGGGTTTTTTGGGGCTAATGGTGGAAGCAAATCATACAAGAAGATTGATAGTTTGTACAGGGATCACAATCAAGGGAACATGCTATCAACTGATAGTGCCCAACACAATATAGAAGGGAAACAAATGTGTGATTGTCTACTACTGCCACTTTGCTGTCCCTTGTACTGCACATAACATTAGGCCTGCTTCATCCCAGCGCTATTGGCTCCTTGTTCTGTCTGTCAGAGCAGAAGGAGTCTAGGCCTACGTGTATCCCCATAGTCCCAAGGGCAAATGGTGGATTGTTAGTGTTAGGTCTGAGTCTTAAATTTTGGTTATTTTTCTCAACCCATTTAATTGTTTTCTGTGTTCCTTGCCTTCTTCCATGGGAGGGGGTTTTGTTTCCTTTTTGCTTTATATTATTTTCAACATTTTATTTGTTTCTAATGTTAACATTATTCTCAGTGCATATACATCATTCCTAGCAAGAAAGAGGAAAAAATGTAGGGATGGGAATCAGTCTAACATTGCACGGTACTATCATTGGGTGCCACTTCAGACATGAATCTGTTTTGCAAAATGGTAGATGTACATTGTAAATACAGGAGGAGCATTTGTTTTACCAGAAGAGGATTTATGCAGGTATTGTGTAAAACAAATTTATGGATGTTTTCCATTCACGCAGTGGTAAGAACAATTTCATGGGGTGACAGATGAAATGTTCCCTTCCATGAGGCTTCACCTGTTTTGTAAAATAAATAACGAATGTATATTGTATATTATTTCTTACTGTATATCATGTGCTGTGTACAGTGTCTCTCCTTGAACTAACACTAAGTTATACTCCTTCAGTTTTTCTACCAGACCCACATTATACTGTAAACCAACTACCCAGTGCCTGGACCAGAGCAGAATGGACCAGACCAGCTTCGTTGGGTGCCTCCTGTCTGTAGACTGCGGTGACTACCTGGGCACATTCCAGGGAGAAGTGACACTTGTCAACAAGGACCAACAGACTATCTCCCTCAGGAGGCCCTACAGGAATGGCGTCAAGTTTGACACCCCAGAAATCACCATTCGGTTTGTGGAAAAGAATCTACCGTAACAAGTGCCAATCAAACTTCAGTTTCTCACTCGTCCAGGTTATGGAATGTTGTCCATGAGAATACTGTAGGAATCAAAAGGCCTGAGAAGTGTTGGCGGACATCTATCATGCACATTTTTAGTTAGGGGTTAATTTCACAAAGCCTAATCCTACTCTCTGGGGAATGAAATATGAAAAACAGTAACTGGTTTGTATTGAAGGGTTTGAAGTCGTAATGAAAAAGGCACCCCTAAAACCCCAAATCAGAACAATAAAGCTAAACTTGTTCAACAAGACAGTACTGAACAGTTTTCAAATGTGCACATACATGTATCCATCAGCCCTCTGATGTGTCCTTATGATAAGTCATAGTTTTCATGCATTCAGAACTTTGACAGACTGGTGACCCACTATAGCAATTAGGTGCAGGTTTATCTGCCCACATTTCTAGATTTCCAAGATATAGAGAACTATTACCCACAGTACCGTGATAAAGACTCGCAACCAACAAGCTTTCTTCAGTGCTAGGTTTCGTGTAGGATTTCCAGAACGGCCCTTCCCTCTGATGCACAGTTGAAAATTACCTGTTCTACATGACAGGACACCCTTTTTAGATTTTGTGGTTCTCATTTCTGACCATCCTAGATTTAGGTCCAGTCCCCAGGGAAAAAAGCCTTTTAATCTACAGACCTTGCTAAGAGGACCTTGCCTTTAAAAAAAGGAAAGTAGGGTGTGATGACCTGTTCAAAAACAGTGCTGAAATTGCACATGTGCGATACACTATGGCCTACACATCACATAGCACATGAGGGCGCTTTGCGTGACATTTTGTGTTCACCCTCTGACCCAAGCATGCGCTCACCTTTTCCAAACTTCCGGTCGTGACAGTTCTTCCAATGATACATTGGTGGCCCCAATTAAACTTCAGTTGTTTCAGTAATAATATCTGCCATTATTCGAGAGACTCGAGAACACGAAATCACTGCACAGCAACCAGATTAAGCTTCGTGGTGTGTACGTGTATGTACATGTACGTCATGTGGACGCTTGCAACGCACAATGCGCAACGTTTGTGTGAGCCTGACCTTGCCAGGAAACCGGGTTTATGCTTTTACAGACTTGCACTGTCTGCACTGGACTTTCTGTCTTGGGAAAAGTGTCTCGGGAATTCTTCCTGGCCAGAAAAATAGTTCGCGGTACCCACTGCTTCATTTGATTCGGATCGGCCAGCCGACCCCGGCAAGCTCGGTGGTCGAGTGGTTAAGACATCTGCACTAGTAAGCAGGAGGTCGTGGGTTCGAGTCCCACCCAAGTAATCTTATGAGGTTTTTTTCACGAGCTCTTGGACAAGCACTGAGCATACAGTGCTTATTAATATACGTTGGGTAAGGGCAAAACCTGTTATATATAATTCCTGGCCAGAAGTTGGCCGGTAAAATTTCCTGTGCGGCTTGGGAAAAGTTACTAAGAGGAAGTCTTCCGGGGACGTCTGCACTAGACTTAAAATGGGCAAAGTGCCCATCATCTCGATAAGTTTGCCCCAAAAAGTCCAGTGCGAACAGGGCTTTAGCTATGGAAAGTTACTCTGATATTTCGTTTTAGGTTAAGAAGTTGAGGAATTTCCACCAAAAGTATTACTTTGACAAGGGCTTATTCCTTATGCAGTATAGACCTAGCAGCTACAAGTGGTTAAAGATACAGTTCTCAAAAAAAGTTAGGGACCACTTTTTTCTTGTAATTTTTTCCAAGCAATGAGTGGAGTCTAGTTCTTTCATTTTTGTTTGTCTAAATGATGCTCTCATTACAATAAAAACATTTTTTTTAATGTTTCAAAGCATCAAATGCACGTTTTCAGCAGTAAAATATCTCATATAAAAAAGTATATACAGAATAGAAAAAGGTCCTTAACGTTTTTTGAGTAGTGTATTTCAACAGACTTTGAAGTTATCTGTTTGTAAGTACATGTACAACAGAATTTTGATGTTACCTGTTTGTAAATACAACAGAGTTTTAGCCTTGTCTTTTGTCTTGTTGCAGGGCTGTAGACATAAGAGATTTGAAAATCCTGAAATCCTTTGATGAGCATGGGACAGCCTCAGCGGAGAGACACGACTTGAGCGAAATGTCCCAGAATGCAACCCTTCACAATGGAACCAGCAACGTACCCAACAACAGCACAACGAACAGCAAACACACAGTGCAGAACAGTGGCGGGCAGAGGATGTCTCGGAAACAGGACCATCAGCCTGGCAATGCCAATGGCAAGACACCAACCAAGCAGCGTGCCGATGGGTCGGATGGTGACAGAACAGCACTGCACCTAGGCACGTTGCACTCGGCATTCCAGAGGGTGCAAAGGGACGATGGGAAGGGTCAGGGGTTGGAGGAGGAGAGGGAAGCAGTGGATTCCGAGAAGGGGAGAAAGCAGAAATACCACTCAGGTAGGCTGTGGAAAATGTTTTTCATTAGGCCACTTGATAAAAATACATTGCATACTTCTTGTTTGATTCAAATCTTTTAGGCGGTTTCTACACTCTACCTTTATTTCTGCTTTTGTCTGATTTAAACCCCCCTACCTTTGAAGCTGTTGACTCATTGAGTCAAATGGTGCCACCTGAACATCAAACTACATGCAGTAGAGCCAAATACTTAAGTACATGTACATGTTTCTATTCAATTTGAACACTCTAGACCTTCATTTATGGATTGGTTGTAGAGATGAAGCCTTGGACACTGGCAAAGCCAAGTATTGGAAAACTCCCTCTGTTATTCGCAAAGGCCAATATCTAGAGCAAGTTTCAGTGTGCAGTAAAGTAGAAAAATCTTGCTCTGGTTAATTAATGTGCTAAGCAAAGAAATGGGCAGTGAATCAGTCATGCAGATCTTATTACTTTTTGGGCGGTAACCTCTTAACGCTAAGCATACTTCCGAGCTCAACAGCTCCATGAAATTGGCCCCTGAAATAATGGAGTACCTAACCTGCTACTCTTAGAACTTGTCTTTTGGGCCCTTGGCATGTGGCCATCCAGAAAACTGTACATACTATGTTCCAAACATTTTGTCGCATCTGTAGCAGGTCTTTCCTGTAGGTGTGTGTACAATGTACATGTATGTGCAAATGGATTTATTTCAATGAAGGAATAACTGTTGGTCCCAAGTTGTCATTCCTCTTGAAAACTGGCTGTTAGATTCTGACACATTTTGAATAGCACAAGGAACTGTGCGAAGTTTTGAGGTAGTCTCATTTGCCAAAATGGACAGGAGCAATAAAAAAAGGAATTCCACTCTCTGAAAATTTCACTTGCCACACATACTGCATGTACATGTACCTTTACGTTGTACTTGACATCCAGTCACCCAAAAGTTGACCAACAGAACACATTTTATTTACGTGTAATTTCCAGGACTTCGAGCTTTCGGTCTACCACAAACAAGTTCATCACAACATATACTGAACTCCTAAAGGTTTTCACATACATGTATTTTGTAACAGGGAACTTTGAAGCCAACCAGAAAGTGCGGTCCTCACCCCGCAAAATCGAAGGCGGTGGCGGGAAACAACGGCGCAATGTCAGCGCCAACGCCAGGAACGAGGAGTGTTTCTCTGCTCCAGTGGAGTCATTCCTGGCCACGGACTTTGACTTCGACAAGAGCAGGAAGTCTTTCAACAAGGCAGCCATTTTCGAGGAGATCCACTCAGCCATGGGAGACAACAAGAAGAAGATTAAGAATATCCCTCACGATGAGCACATTGTGTTCAAGAACATCCCAGCCTTTCTTCACGACAATGGAAGCAGACAAGTGAAGTGTTCCTCCTATACAGCAGGTACAAAAACAAAAGAGAAAATGCTCAACAACTGCTTAGGATTCTATATGGTGTTGTGGGTAAATTGGGTTTAGGCACTCTTTTGGTTAGACAATGCGGGTACATGTTGGTAAGTTTGGTTTAGAGTATTAACAGTCTCTCATTGGAGATTCACAACATCACACTGGTACATGTAGTTTACCCACATCAATAATATTTTAGGACATCAAGCTTTGCAAATTCAGCAGGAAAGAGTTGCATTCTAGATGCTCTGTGGTGCAATCTGAGACACTTCTATAAAATATAAAATTTTAGTTCACTACTCCAAAGGAGATCTCACTTGGGCAATGTCCCGGTGTTTCTGCAAACCTATTTGTCAGAAGATATCTGTGTCTGTATCATTCAGCCAGCAACCTGTCATCTTCTGACACATCCTCCTAATGCTACATGTGGAGCACAGTTAAATATAATTGGGACCTCCACTCTTCACCGATATATCACGACTACAGTGGAATGCCGTTTGCCGAACACCGCTATACCGAACATTCGGCTGTACCGAACATCATCCTTGGCCCCCAATAATTTGTGCACAGAACCTACCGAACACTATTCAGTTGCCGTTTGTAATTTCCATACATCAACATGATAAAAAGGTCAGTGTTTTTTATGTTGGAAAGTGACAAGTGGCAGTTATTTCCCCAAGGATTAGAAGGGAAAGCCACTAGTTGTCAACGGTATTGAATAGACACTGGGTTTACAACTCCACATGATCGGGTGCGGAAGAAAACCGCACATATGCCCACGGTGGCATTGCACTAACAGTAGTCTAAAGAGGGCGCCGCTGATACACAAATCAACTGAGATTCGCCACAGCATGCATCAGAGATCGATCCTGAGTGGTACATGTAGTTTCACGACTTTTAGGATAAACTTGATATCAATTTTTTTTGTCAAGTGTAAATGAAAAACAGAAATAATTAACAGATACATTTCTAGAAACCTTAAACTTGAATGCAATGGCAAAACATCACGAAAACAATGAACCAAGGTATCACAAGATGGTGCACTTCGCTTAGACAAGAGAGGGCGCTATTCAACATGGCAACAAAACCTTCGGCAGTTAAATTCGCTATACCGAACGACCGCTGTACCAAACATTTAGCGTGGACCCTGTCTTGTTCGTTATAGCGGCGTTCCACTGTGTATTATAACACAAAATGCAAAATATTTCCCCGCCTCGATTTCTATATGCAGATATTTCTTAACTTTCGTCATGTCTTTCGTCACCACGATGAGTCAGCACATAATTTCATACGGTAGAATTTCTCAGCCCGCGCAGCTTTTATTGTCTGCTGTATGCGCCGGCCAGGCTCATGTGCTACACGCACACACCAGCAGTGTGTGTAAAAACCGTCTGGTATCCATCTGACAAATACGATGTGTACAGCACAGATGGCAGCAATTTGAGACATTCCGATGGTGTTGAGTATGTTATACATTTACATCAGTGGTTTTTACTCTACTGTCTCCAGAAACTGGTGTGATCATCCCTGCAGTGTCCGTGGATGTTGCTCAGAGCCTGTGGCAAGTGGCTGACAAGCTGGGCTTGACTACCGAGAGGAGACTGGAGGCCGGTGGGGTGAGCATCGCCAAGATGGTGCTACGTCTCATTGATGGTAAAACCAGGTAATGAAAAATTCACAATAATACTAAATATAATGCTAATCTCTCACACAGTATAGCTGCAACTATTTCAGGTGCTTACCTGGTTTAATCAACCAAAATAAGCCTCCCTGCCTCTAGGCAAGTGAGGGTAAAATAAAGTGATTGGCCCAAGGTCAGAATGTGCCACTTGTGCAGTATACGCTTGTAGAATTTACACCCAGACCTTGCTATTGCCCATTGCGTACCCTAACCACTACGCCACAGTTTCTTACAAATTTACTCTGGGATTCTTGGAGTTGTGTCTGTGTGAAGCTCGGACAACTTAGTTTGCTGCAGTGGGCATAAACCTCTTTGGACAATATGCTGCCTTTTGGGAGGAACAGACAGTGTCGTCACTATTTTGAAGTGAATCCTACATTCCTGCAAGGTCCATGGTGGGCTGTTCTTGGCTGGTTGAATTGTTTCAAAATAGTCATTGAACAGAGTTTTAGAAAAATTTGGAAAGAGGTTCAATCGCCAAGTAAGACTTCTGAGCATCACTCTGTGGATGTGAATGTTCCTTGAAGTCAAAGCCAAGTGAAGCAGAGTTTTTCCAAGCGTGAGCTCTCCAGCTCATTTGTCAAGTATATTACACGCTGCATTCCCAAATTTTTTTGGAATGCTTTCTTTTTAACCTGTTTATGACAACACACGTACACTGTGTTGTTGGTTTGATCAGGAGACAAAAAGTATGGCTGAAATTTAAGAATTAATAGTTTTACCAGAAATAAGAATTGAACTTGTTTTCTGTTGTGTTTGCAGCTTTGAATTCATTGGCAAACAGCAAAAATGTGTCTCCAAATATTTAGTTGTGGGCATGACCAACCTATAGAGGGCTCTCACATTGCATACAATTCATATGGGCGGCTGAAGTGTGCAATTGTGGCACATTGGTTTGTATCTGATGTTACCTGAAAATGTATGTTTGCTTTTAACCACTTCCTACCGGGGATCCCGGTTTCGGGCATCGTGTGTTTGTACGTGTGGCCGGGGTCTCTGAAATCGGACAAAGGGAACTTGGCCTTGCAACAAAAGACCGTTCTCGGAACAAAAGACCAGGCTGCTGGGCATTACCGACATTTTTTCACTCTCAATAGTGGAGAAAATCCAGCCTTGTTGTGGAACAGTATACCACAGTCTGGGCATTTAGTGCGAGCGGATTACCACCGAGGAAAAAAGCGCTCCACCAATGTAGCGATGAGCCACACAGCACCGCTGCACACTAATCTGGCCCGTATTGAAAAGAGGTCAGCAGCGCACTGTGCCAGGTTCATGAACAAAAGAAAGTTACATAACTGCAGGCCTGCTGAAATACTCGGGCGTCAATAGATTTGTCTGTCAGACTAGAGTGGTCACCAGACAGTAATTCATGTGGGTGTATTAACGTACATTAATTGAAATGAAGAATTTTTGAAGAATTTTGAAAACTGAAAATCTTGAAAAAGTCCCGATTATGTGCACTGTGTTTTTCAAACCACCTTGCAGCAAGTGGTTAGAGAGTGTCACATTTTCACAATCCCATTTTGTATGGTGATATTTGTTTGTTGGTGTTTTATGGTTGGTTGAGATTTAACTGTGAATTATTTTTTTGCTTTTGCACTGACAGCCAGCGGTAGATTTACCAGCCACTGGTAGGCAAGAATAGGACTGAGACTGTGTGCTATTTCTTCATTATTTATTCCGATTCAGCTTGGAATGCGTTGTTCAATCTAACTGGCTTGTATTTTATTGTTTTACTTCTCCCCCCCCCTTTGGTGTGCCTTTCACCAGGGTCAGTGACCGGTCGTCCATTCTGGTCGTCTGCGGCCCCCACCTGCAGGGGGCCCAGGGCATCAACTGCGCCCGCCACCTGGCCAATCACTGCGTAGACGTCACGCTCTTCATGCCCAACTTTGCCAAAATGCCGGAGGTGCTGGTGGCCGAACTGAAATTGTTCAAAGAGACAACTGGGAAACACGTCACCAGTATTGGGGGTAAGGTACAATGTCTCCATTTAGATTCCAGAAAACTATCATGATACCCTCTATGATCCCCTGCTGATAGCTTTGCTCTGTTGACACTCAGTTTCATTCCCCAGTTTCAACTCTTCACACTTCAAGCGGAGGTGCCTGCAAGCGGCCATCCATTTTATTTATCAGTTTCATGCAAGAAAAAAATTATGCATTGTGGAATCGAGACTAGAAATAGAATAATAATTCTGTACTGGATATTATCATCAACTTTTATGTATTTTTGAATAGTGTACATAGTAACCAATCCGTTTCCCCTACCTTACAGCTCTTGTATTTGTGAAAATAATGAATATTACCCATAGACACCCTGCTTTGAATCCTTATATTTTTGGTATGTTCCTTTCATTTGTATGCAGTGACGTAAATCTGTGTTGGAAATTGGGTCGATGGGGAAAGGTGGGGCAGGATGACTTACCCGGCCATAGAAATTTGAAAAGCCAGGGGGACACCATATACACTATATTGGGGGCAATGTTCATGTTTAAGATGTACATCTGTAATGTGTATCAAATTTATGCAGAATCTTACATCAGAATGGTATATTTATCGCTTTTTAAAATTGCTTTCCCTTTTTAGTGATATTGCAGACATTTTAGTCGTTGGGAAATCCTGAAAATTCTTCACAATCCGCTTAAATTTTTTTGCTCATCACAAAACAGTAGGGGGGATGATTCAGCAGCCCACCCCCACCTCAAAAAGAGGGGGGATATACATGTACACATACGGTATACCCCCCCCATCCCCCAGGATTTACGCCCATGTTTGTATGCCAAATGTCAATGGCTAAATTAGTTGCTGTATTTTTCAGATTCACACACACGTACTGTGTTTCCAAAGCTCTTGCCTCCTCTCCTTTCCTTAATCATCACTGACACTCAGAGAAAAAGGTTTGAATGAAATAAATCCGAAGAACCCTTTTAACCACTTCCTGTCAGGGACTCGGGGATCGGAGAC